CTCATGGGGACTGCTGTGCTGTGCTGTTCCATGTCCTCTTCACATCCAACATGCTCAGGTCCACTGGGGTGGCTCTTGTGCCAGTCATCCCCACAAATATCTTCCTCACCTGCTGTGGCCCTCTACTTTTAAAATGTCTTTTTTTAAACATAATATATGGGTTCTGAGAACTCCACAGTAAAGGCCTAACACATGGTCAAAGGTTAAGTGGCCACCAGTCTTCTATTCCAGTGAGAATCAGATGTTGGTGATTTCCAGAGTGTCCTTTCAGATATCTTTAAAACTTTCTAAATGTTAACTTTTTCCTGATTGCCAAGAGCCTCTCTAAAAGGGAGCTCTGATGGTATAGTAGATACAGTTACCCTTCAAACTCAAAGACATGCAGTTCAAATCCACCTGCTGCTCAATCTCCTATACCGTGTGCAGCCTCTGAAAATCTGCTGAGGGGGTCAGTGATGAGCTGGTTCTGACTCTATGGGAAACTCCTTGCAATCTCTGGCCCCCATTGCCCACATTTGAAGGATGGGGGTGGAGGACACCATGGAGCACAACTGGCTCTTTCCTCCTCAGTCAGCAGCACTCTGAAGTCACAGTGAGTCTCAGAGGGACCCCTGGTGGCAGAGTCTGCAGTGAAATGTGCTGATAACCTAGAGCCTTTGAGTTTTTGATGGTTCAAGTCCACCAATGGCTTCTTGGAAGATAGATGGATAATCTTCTCCCATGTGACTTACACGTGATCGGAAATCTGATGGAAGGTCAACAGGAGTCTGAACCAACATTGGTGGTGAGTTTAAGATTGAATGAGGAGTGACAATGGAACATTTTTAATGCTACCCAGACTGTCCTGCAGAGGGCAGACAAACCTCCAGGCAGGACCCTGGAAGGATTTCAGGGCTTTCTGTCCCTGTGTCCTGTCCACTGTCTTGGTTCACTGCATAAACCTGTGCAGAGTTTGTGTTCACTCTGGAAAAACAACAACTCTTAAAGGTGTGGGTCTTTCGCTGTTGCTGCTGTTTGATTCCATCCCTCCCTGCAATCATTTGATGCTGTCCTCAGAAGAGCAAGAGCTCTTTGATTTCACACAGATTTTCACATTTATTTTACCTTCATCTCATCTACTTTGGACATGTTGTTAGGAGAGAGGCTGTTCGTTGGAAAGGGACATCATGTCTGGAAGGGTGGAAGGTCAGTGAAGGAGAGGAAGACCCTCAGTGAGATGGACTGACACAGTGACCTCAGCAATGGGCTTCAGTGTGTCGGGGATGATAAGGGTGGCGCAGGATAGGACAGGACAAGGTTCAGATCTAGTGTTCATAGAGTCACTGTGAGGCATAGTTGACTCAATGGCATCTAACAACAATAGGGAAATAGGGTGCTCTGGTTTCTTTCTGGTAAAGAGTTGTGTTGCCACCTCAAAGTCAGGCAGTTTGAATTCACCAGCTTATCTACAAGAGAGAAACTGGCATTCCCCTCTTGTCCAAGTTTATGTTCTTGTTGTACTTATGTGCCATCGAGTTGTCTGTGACTCATAGCAACCCTATGTGTATTAGCTCTGAATCCTGCCCTATCCTGAGCCAGTCTCATTGTCTCTGGAAGACCTAAGCCTATTTCTCCAGTCATGGAGTCAATCCATCTCATGCTGAGTCTTCCTCTCCTGCTCTGTCCCTTTACCCTTCCAAACATGATGTCCTTTTCCAAGGAATGGTCTCTCATCACATTCCCAAAGCGTGTGAGACAGAGCTTCAGAATCCTTGCCTCCAGGGAGAAATTTGGTTTCACCGTCTCCAGGACAGATATATTTGTTCTCCTGGCAGCCCATGGTATGATGAACACTCTTCTCCAGGACAACAACTCAAAGACATCTACCCTTTTTCTATCATCTTTAGCTACTGTCCAGCTCACAGATGCATAGCAAGTAATTGTGAAGACCATGGCCTGGATCTCTCTAGAAGGTTGGCTATGAATCAAGTTTGCCTTAATGGCAATGAACAACAACAACAATAGGTAAATAAAGTTTACAGGCAAATGTGCTCTCGGGCACAGATTCCCAACTCTTCATGCTCTGGTTTCTTGGAGTGAAGTGGTTTGTAGAGCTGACTGGCTTAGGGCTCTTGATGCCTGACTCCTCATTTTCTCCTCCCCCCCTCGCAGGGCAGAAGCCCCAACCTCCATCACAGCACACACTTCGACAAGTTGGCCTCTCTTCTCTGTAGGCTCTGACCCAAGCACTAGTTACCAGTGGCTGTTGAGTGGATCCTAACCTGTGGTGACCCCATGAGAGTAAGAGCAGAGTTGGGCTCAAGAGAGTTTTCCATGGCCAATTTCTGGTGGTTGATTGCTAGCACTTCTTCTGAACTGGCTCTGTGTGGCCTTGAACCACCAGAGCTTTGGTTAGCATCTGGATAGGTTAACTGTGTGCACAACCTGTACAGCTCAGTGGCATGTGGTAGGTAGATACTCGAGTGGTGCAGGAGAATGAAGTCTACTGAGGACCTTCCCCATCCACACTCTGCTTACACCCTCCAGGGCCCCAGCCACAGCCCTACACAAGGTGACACTATAGCCCCTGGTTTTGACTGGCTGAATTTAGCAATGCACACATAAGCTAAGCTAGATAGCCAAACTCCCAATGGAGCTAGAATTAGACTGTTGCTGTACACCGTTGACTTAGAACTGACCCACGGCTGAACCTCCAGTGGATTTTCAGACTCAATTAATTGCATGGAGGAGACTGCCCATCTTTCTCCTGCAGAAAGCTGGTGGATTTGAACCTTGAGAATTAGGTTAGGGCACTGGGAATGTTCAGGTCTGCTCACGGGCTGAGGCTGCCTGCCATGTTAGGGCAGCCAGGAGAGGCACAGTCAACTGAGCTGAGAAAGTCTTTCAGAAAATGAAGGAGAGGAGAGAGAAAATGCAGGGCTAAGTAGAGGGGCGGAGGAGAGGTAAGTGGTGGTCCATGAGAAGAATTTTCATCTTCCAAGTGGGAGCCCCAGGACGCCCCCTGGCAGCCACCTCCTGTCAGTGAGTGGAGCCGGGTGCTGTCATGACGTGGAGCACATTCAGCAGAGCTCCCACATTAAGGCTGCCCAGAAAAGAAGGCACAGCAAGGCCCCTCAAAGACCCAGCCACTGAAAACTGTTTCAAGCACAACTCTGCTCTTAGAACTATACTCTTACATCACACTTGCCAATCTACAACTGAGCCTGGGGATGGCCTGGGACTGAGCAGTGTGTTAGCCATTGTGTAGGATGCTGCCTTGAGCTGACCTGAAAGGTAGTTGACAACAATGACAGCAGCAACAACAGGAGTAGCAACAACATCAACAACAGCAGCAGCCAGAGCAACAATAGCAGCATCAACGTTAGAGACAACAGCAGCTGCCATAGTAACAGCAAAAACTGCTGTAGCCACCACTGCCACAGCAGCAAAACAACAGCACAATCCACAAAAGCAGCAACAATAGCAATTAACAATAGGAGCAGCACTAACAACAGCAGCTGCAACAGGATGAGAGGGGCTGAAAGGGAGAGAAACACTGGCCAATCAGTCTGCACTACATGTTTGTGAAACTCAGCTCAGTTCAAATGGCAATAACGTTCCTCATTGGGATGGTTTATGTGCAGGTGCAGAAAGGTAAGGGTTCTGAGCGACAAGGGTGAGGTGTGGGAGAGTGAGACCTAGAACAGTGAAACCAGTGTAAACCAGTGTAGAGTAACGAAGTGGCCAGGAAGACAGATGGGGCCAAACTTTTCTTTTTAAAGATTTATTAATTGGTTTGGCCAAACAAGTAATGGAATCCAAGAGTAATAATTTGCTAAAAAGTTCAGGTCATGAATGCCCCTTTCCCTGTGAGACAGAAGACTCCATGGTTACAGAATGCACCATTGGGTTATGACAACATTTCAAAATAATTTCCCCCCATTTCGTATGTAACAATGTAAACTTCAAAAATAGTAAACTCTAACCCCCTTGTCCCTCCTTACAGATCTATCACAGATAGAATTTTTCTGGCAGACCCAAAGTGTGTAAGTAAACAGCCTGGTGCTTAAAAGTTTCATAAAAAGGTTTACAGGTTCAGTAAATACAGTTTTGATCTTGATGATAAAGTAAAAGCTATCAGCGATTCACTCCCAGCACAGCCTACCTTTGTACGCAGACGTACGTCGTGGGCCATGGTCCATATACGCGGCTCATCAGCGTTGTCGTTTTTGTATGAACAGATATGTATTTTAAATTTGTGTTTTTCTAAAGATTTCTACATCTAAATGATAAGATGGCGCCAGTGACTAACAATGTCACCTCGCTTCACATAGGTAAAGACAAAAACTTGTGTAGAAGGCACTGTAACTTCTCTTGCATGAGCTTACAGAAATGTGGGCACATGTCAGCTGGGGTCTGGGGGTCTGGCTGGTCTCACCCTTCCATCTCTGGTACAAGACTGGTCTCCTTCCAATTCCATCCCCATGTCAGTCCTCCCAGATGGCTCAGGTGTCCAGTCTGCTTTCTCTGCCTCACCCCTTCACACCCCTCCGTCCATCCAGATTGCTTTAGAGTTCACTGTCTTTTGGTTCACTGAAATCCTTAAAATTAAGAGATCATCTCCGGTAGAAAACAAAATATAACCTACCACAGTTGAGAAAATAATCACAGTGTGCAATGAAATTCCCCGTTGCTGAGATTCAAACCATTTGCCCCGGCTTGTCAGGAAAGTCTGTATTCCAGAACAGTCTATGCAAACATCATGTCAACGTCCTTTACATTCATTTGCAAAGAGCTGAGAAATTCTCTTTGTCCTCATTCTCGTTGAAGTGGTACCCTGAAGTGAAAAGGTCTGTGTGGAAAAAGTGCAAGCAAATTGGACATGCCAATAAATACCATATAACTTACTGCGGGTTACCAAAACTGTACAGGTATGTACACCTCAGCACGCCCACGCCCCCGTCGCAGAAAGGCCTCCGGATTGTGAACACAGGGGTCAGCACAGCCGTAGAGTGGTCAGCTCAGCGGGCAAAGGACGGGTGCGCTGGCCGCCGGCTCCGGCCCTGCGGTCCTGAGGCCGGGTCGCCGCTGCCCTCGGCCGTCTCCTCCTTTTTCCTCACTTTGAGGCGGGTGAGCAGCTTGATCAGCCAGACGTCCCACTCCTCAGGCAGCAGCAGCAGGAGGAAGCCCAGGCCGATGATGATGATGGCGATGACCCGGACTCCGTTGAAAACGATCTTACTCGTGTAGTGGTCGACCACTGCGTGAGACAGAGAGCCCTGGTTACCCTACAGAGGAGGTGGAGGGCACAAACGTCCCTGTCCTCTCTGACCACAGACTCCTCTCTGGTCCAGCTTTAGGAAAGCACCCTTGTTATTATCAAGCCTTTCTAACATGGAGACTTGCCCTCCTGTGCTACTTCCCCAAGGTGAACCAACAGGTCGATACCAACATGTATTTGATGAGAAAGGAGAGGCCCCACTACCTATCAACCGTCTGTCTGGAGGAAAAGATACTAAAATGTCATGTGACTCACTCTGTGTGATAGCATCGTAAAGCATACTATTTCTTTCTTTATACTTTTGGCACATTGAAATGTCCTAGAAAATGCACAATTTGTATTTTTTATAAACTGAAAATACTCACTGCTTTAATATATGTTGTTGTTGGGTATGAGTTGGAACTGACCCGTAGCTGACCCTCCAGTAGGTTTTCAGAGGCAGTTAATCACATGGGAGGAGATTGCCCATCCTTCTCCCATGGAGGTGCCGGTGAATTTGAATCATGTGCCTTCAGGATTGTAGCACAGCTTCTTGTAATAAGGCCACCAGGGCTCCCTTTAATGTATGTATTATGTGCAGTTATGTATAATATATGAAAAAAATATATTTGCATAGAACATCTGTAATGGAGTGCTGGTAACATAGTGGTAAGGACTTGGCTGCCTATTTCTCTCTCAGTGTCTCTCTCTTTCTTGCTCATTCCATCTTTCTCTGTCTAGCTCTCTCTTCGTCTCTTTGTCTCGATCTTCCTCCCTTTCTGTCTCTTCATCTATCTTCATCTACCTGTCTTCTCTCTCCTTCTGTTTCTCTCTCTATCCCTATCTCTCTCTCTCTCACCTATGTCTACATATCTAAATGTCTCCCTCTGTCACTCATCTCTATCTACAACATTCTCTATCTCCACTTCCCTATTTGTCTCTATCTATGTTTATTTATATATCTTACTCTCAATTTATTGCACTATCTCTCTACTTAGATCTACCATTCTTCTCTCACTTTATCCCTCTGTCTACCTCTGAATCTCTCTGTAGTGCATCCACTCTTTCTATATTCATCTATTTCTTCATATCCCTTCTTATCTATGCATCTGTCTATATCTCTGTCTCTAAGGTCAATGTCTATCTTTGTCTGCCTATATCTCTCTTTCTCTCCCCATGTCTATATGTCTATCCATCTCTCTGTCTCTCCCTCTCTCCCTTTCCCCCTCTCCCTATATATCTCTCATAGTTTCTATTACCTGTGTACGTACAACTTCATCTTGGATCCACAATTAACACCCTTTGTACCAGCAGTCAGGAAATCAGGAGACATTTTGCATCGGGAAAGTCCGCAGTTAGGGACTTCTCCAAATTATTGAGGAGTAATCATGTCAGTTTGAGGACTAAGGTGTATTTGAGAGCTGAACAATGAATAAAGATGAATAAAGAAGAAGAATTAATGCCTTTGAGCTGTGGTGTTAGAGAAGAGCACTGATCGTTCCATGGACTACTAAAAAGTGCTCTTTGGAGGCAAGGATACGTCAGGCACATGGCTAGGAGGGGCTGTTCCTTGAATGAGACATGATGCTCAGAAATATGGTGGGTCAGTGAAGGAGAGAAAGACCCTTGACTAGGTAGATTTGCATGGTGACTGCCACAATGGGATCTAATGTGTCAAGAAGTGTGAGGATGGCACAGGACAGGACGGGGTCCAGATCTGTTTTTCATAGGGTTGCTATGACACTTAAGGAAGGACACAAGACATATGTATCTCACTCTCTATCCCCTTCTCTCTCTCTCTCTAAAATCCATTCAATCTATCTCTCCCTATCTCCTTCTCTATCCATCTCTCACTCCATTTCTCTCTAACCCTCTCTCTCTTTTTCTATCACTTTATTTGTCTCTCCCTGTCTCTTAATTTATCACTCTATCCTGCTCCATCCATTTCTATCTCAATTTATCTATCTCTACTTATATGGAGAGAGAGAGAGAGAGAGAGAGAGAGAGAGAGATATCAGCTGGCCCAGTGAACAGAAAACGATGCTACCAAGACAAAGGTGGGTGACTTTTAATCCGCGGCCCTCAGGCCAGTCTTTCATTGTTTTTGTTGAGACATTCCTCTAGGTCATTTAGCCCTGGTGTACAAGTTGCCATACCGCAAATGTGTTAATGGTTGACTACCCAATGCAGACAGAGAGTAGGGTGGAGCTCCCTGATTAAAACAAGTGTAGAAGAAGGAGTGGCATCCACTTCCATAACAGCTTGCCTCCAGAAACCCTATGAACCTGGAGAGAGGATGAAAGGCACTCAAGCGCTGAAGACTCTCCTTCATAGGGTCTCTATGACGGCACTTAACAACAACAACAACAGCTTATATCTAGCTCTCCTCTCTACTGGTCTATGTATGTATCTATCTTGGTCTTTCTATACTCCCTACCCATTTATATCTACTTATCTCTGTCTCTTTCTATCTCCCTCTTCCTCTCTCAATCTAATTCTATCTCTATTTCTGTCTCTACTACACTCTATTTCACTCTCTATCTACCTATCTCTGTCTCTATTTCTTTCTACCTCTTTCTCCATCTGTCTCTCTCAACTTCTTTTTTTCTTTTTCTCCTTCCTTCCTTCCTCCCTCTCTCTCTCTCTCTCTCTCTTTCTTTCTTTCTTCCCCTATTTCTTACTCTTTCTCTATTTCTCTTCCTATTTCTGTATCTCTCTCTCTGCTTTTCAATCTCTCCTTACCTATCTTTCTGTTGATCCGTCTTTATTTAGTTCTATCTTAATGCATCTCTGCCTTTATTTATTTCTCTACCTATCTGTTTCACTCATCTATCTTTGTTTCTATCTCTTTGTCCCTATCTTCTCTTTCTATATGTCTCTCTTTCTCTATCTTCCCCACTCTCTATTTCTCTATATAGGGAGAGGGAGATAGATAGATATATAGAGACAGAAATGATAGATAGATAGAATATAGGTATGGAGAGATAGATAGACACAGATAGGGAGAGTGTAAGTTGATAAACAGATAGAGAGATCAACAGATACATAGATGGGGAGAGACAGAAAGATGAAGTGTACAAGAAAGATATTGAAAAATACATAGGGAGAGGTAAAGATAGAGACAGATAGAGCCAGATAAAGAGTGATAAAGATTGAGTGAAAATGACAGATAGAGCTATAGAGATAAATATAGGGACATAGTGAGATGGATAAAGAGACATTTAGATAGAGAGAGAAACAGGCAGATGTAGAGCAGGCAAGAGAGACAGACAGCTATAGAGAGGGACAGAGTGAAATAGAGACAAGAGATGTTGTTGCTGTTGTTATGTGCCGTAGAGTCGCTTGCGACTAATAGCGACCCTTGTACAACAGCCCTAAACACTGCTCTATCCTGTGCCAATCACACTGCCTCTGACACACCCATCCCGATTACCCCAGTCACTGAATTAATCCACCTCATAGAGGGCCTTCCTCTCCTGCACTGTCTCTCCACCCTACCAAGCATGATGTCCCTCTCCAAGGACTGGTCCCTCCTTACAACATGTCCAAAGTATGTTATATGGAGCCTCAGAATCCTTGCCTCCAAGGAGCCACCTGGTTTAACCCTTTCCAGGATGAATCTGTTTGCTTTCCTAGCAGTCCATGGTACCCTCAATACTCTTCTCCAGCACCAAAGCTCAAAGGCATCAATTCTCCTTCTATCCTCCTTAGTCATTGTCCAACTCTCTGATGCATAACAAGTGATTGCAAAGACCATGGTCTGTATCAGATGCACCTTAGTCTCCAGAGAGACACCATTGCTCTTCAGTACTTTGGAGAGGTCCCTAACAGCAGACTTTCCCGTAGCAATATGTCTTTTCATTTTCTGGCTGCTGGTGCCAAGAGTGTTGACTATGGAGCCAAGCAAACTAAAGCTGTGAACAATCTCAATCTCTTCACCATCCAGAGATAGGGAATGCAAAATGGAATAATTTGGCAGTTTCTGAAATTGTTAAACATACATCTTCTATATGACAAGACATTTAAGTTACAGAAATAAAGGCATGTATCAATAATGCGACTTGAACACATATGTTCAGTCTTTATTTATAATAGCTCTCACCTGGAAAAAATGCCCAACTACTCATCGTCAACAGACAAAATGACCAACTATGCTACTCTGTATAAATAAAAGGAATTAGTTGGTTATAAGTGCTCAAACGAAAACCCAAACCCACAACCATTAAGTCAAAACCAACTCATTTCTCAGAATTCTACTCACATCACCTCAGTCTTGACAACCTTCCTCAGTATTATCTTTAACTTGCATTGTCCCAACTCTTTCATGATCCCGTCTAACTCTAGTGTAATGTCCTGAGTTTTATCTCAAAATGCTTACTGGTTATCTCCATTTTCACTTCCCAAAGAAAACCTGATCTAGCAAATTAAAGTTAAAGCCACCAACTCCAGATTGAAACCAAGCCATCTGCAAACAGCATTCCTTTGAAATAACTGCCTCCACCTGTTACCCAGAAATCACCCTTGAGTGTTCCTTTCTCTTCACTCCACAGGCCAGTCAATCGCTTTGCTTTGCCAAACTTACACCCGCCTCTACTCAATATTGACTATTAAACTCTACATCGGTTCCTCACCAATTCCTGTTTATGCATTACTGTGCTAAGTAACCCCTCTGCTGGCAGTCATGTCTTCTTCAAAACACATCTTTTTTTTTTTTTATAGTAGTGGAAAACCTTAACAAGAATTTGAAAAAAAAAATCCCCCGAACTCTGGCTCATACTTATTTTACTTTATGTCACAAACTCGGCTCTGGCAGATTTTCATTCTATTCATACACTAGGGTACATACTGCTACAGGTTATTATTTAACAGGCAAGAAATCAATAGACAATGAACAAATTATTAGAAGTGTTGTGTAGAGAAATAATGATTGTTTTTATCCTAGTTTATTTTTTAATATGACTTATGTATTACATTTTTAACACTTAAAAAATAAAAAATATAATATTTTAAAAGGAGAGGTGTCTTTTTAGTATAGAAGAACAATTGAAGGAAACCTCCTTATCAGGTCAAAATGCTGTTGCCTTCCCACTCTGCCATCTATACTGAGAACCACTCCCTTTTTGTTAACATAATAAGAGTTTCAGATCATGTATCAGAGATGGCCTTTTTAACAAATAGGAAAGGAATCCTTAATGGTTTTGAACTTGAAGTGAATTATTACTAAGTTGGATGTGCATAACAGATCCCCCTATCTTCTTAGTTCATTTCTCTCCTTATATAAATTATGGTATGTTCCCCTGAGACAGTTCAGACCAAGAAGGCCAGCTAATGGGGGCAACACAAGAATGAGGAACACACTCTACTAGAGTAGCCAGAGCAGCCCCTGGTGTTCCTTCTTTCAAGTCTGCTAAGAGAGGGGGATGAAGAGGGAAGGGATGGGTGAAAGGAGGAAGGGGGGGCAGGGGGTCAGAGCCAGGGGAGGGGGAGAAAGAGGGAGGGAAGGGAGAGAGAAGGTGTGAGAGAGGGCAGGACAAGAGAGAGAGAGGGAGGTAAGGGAGAGAGAAGGGGGAAAGAGGGGGAATAGAGAGAGAGAGAGTGGGGGGAAATGGGGGAGAATAAAGAGAAAAGAGGGGGAGAGAGAAAAAAGGAAAATAAGGGGAAGAGGGAGGGGGCAAAAGAGAGAGAGGGGAGGGGAAGGGAGGAAAAATGGGAAGAGAGAGAGAGGGAAAGAGAAGGGGAAGGAAATGGGGGAGAGAGGAGAAGAGAGAGTTGGAAGAGGAGGAGGAAGAGAGAGGGGAAAAGTGAGGGTTAAGGCGGGAAAAGAAGAGGGTAGAGAGAAGGAAAAGAGGCAGGAAGAAAAGGGGAGAGGCAGGAAGAGAGAGAGGAGAGAGGAGGGGGAGAGAGAGAGAGAGGTGAGGAGGGGAAGAAAGTGGAAGAGAAGTGGGAAGAGGGGAAGGAGGGAAGAGAGAGGAGAAGGGGAAGAGAGGAGGAGAGGAGATTGGAAGAGAGGGAGGTGGGGGAAGAGAGATGGTAGGAAGAGGGAGAGGGGAAGAGAGAGGGTGGAAGAGGGGAGGAGAAAGAAGAGGAATGGGAGAAAGAGATGAGGAAAAGGAAAGTGAGGGGGAAGAGTGAAGAGAGAGACAGTGGGGGAAGAGGTGGGAAGAGGAGAAGAGAGAGAAGGGAAGTGGAGGAGAGAGAGGATGGGAAGAGAGGAGAGGAAGAGAGGGGGGAAGAAGCAAGAAGAGACGGGGAAAGGGGGGAAGAGAGAGTTAGTGGGAGGGAAGAGAGAGAATGGGGTAAGGGGGAAGAAAAGTGGGAAGAGGAGAAGAGCAATAGGGGAAGAGAGGTGCACAGAGAGGCACAGAGAGGCAAAGAAGAGAGGCATGCATTCACCTGCATCCAACAACCATATTAAGGTATTTCATTCTATGTGTCGATTAATGTTACCTGATGATGTACTGGACCTCTGCACTGGACCTTTGTTTATAGATGCAGATGTTGAAAGTTTAAAGCGTAATAGAAGATTCTTCAGAAAAAAAAAAAACATGCTTGTTTCCTCAGAGTACTGGTTTAATAGAGCTAGGCTAATCAGAAATTAACTATCTAAAGTGAAGGAATAAAGACATAAGTCATAACATACTTCCATGAATATAGATGGTGATAAAGGGAAGGATGATCCTTCAGCTAATGAGAGATAACTGCTAGAAAAGCCAGGGGGTGGTTTGTGGTGTCAGAAACCTTGAAAATTGGCATGGTCTCCAGCTACCTCAACTGCAGATGCTTTGTCTTGAAGATCATCAATAGGTTTGTAATTAATAAATGAGAGAACACTTTCTATACTGTGGGAGACTTTGAAGGCATTGTGAGAGATGGTGGTAAAGAGAGGCTGACGAGACTGTGGCACTACTGTGAAGAGACTGTATCAAGGTGTAACCAGAGGAATACTGGAGATGGAGCCATAGGTTAAAGGTTTTGATTTATGTAGCAGGAATAAGTCAGACTCAAGTTGCATCTGCTCTTTTGACAATTATGGATGCTCAAGGTTTCAACTGTTATAGAAGATTCTATACAAGAGTACAGAGTCAGTGCGGGGCGGGGGGCAAAGTATATACATCAGTGTGTGTTTTTGTGTGCATAAGTGTTTAACAACATAGAAAGCTTACCTGCATTCACAGGTACACTGAGGACAATCCCAAGGGACATCAGAGTAGGATATGTAACAGCAATTCCAAAATTTAATACAATATTGAATGCTGAAATAAATATAAACATGGTTGACTTTCTATGTACCTGAATAGTCTCTGTGTTATCTATGACTAACCCTGAACCCCACTTCCTCTCTCAGTCACCTAACCCACTGTCTATGATGGAGTGAATCATAAGAATGTCCACGTCTAGCTACTCTGATTCAGTTCTGTAAGCAAAGAGTAAGCCTGGGGTTCTTCCAAGGGCTGGAGGACAAGGGGCAAACACCTTGAATCCACAGCCCTTCCCGTCTCTCCTGAAATCTGAAAAAAAGGAGAAGAAATTCAGAAAAGGTGGTGGGCAGACACCAGAACTTGGACCTGGGCCTGCTGTGCAAGTGAGGGCTTTGTGATAATGTCCTGAAGGACAGTGTGGGAGGAAGGGATTTGTTTGCAGCCTGGCACTGGGCAACGCTCCTCTTAGGTTTTTCTGCCCTGAACCAGCCTGACATCACAGAGAAGTGATGGTGGCAATGACTAATAACAATCAGGACAGCTGGTAGTATAAATTGGATACTGGCATTTTTCAGGCACTGTTCTAGAAGCTCAGCATTCGCCAATTTCTTGGCAGCTAGAGGAAAGTTATAAAAGGTGATCTGTTGCACACTCACCTTGAACCTTGTTACTCTGACTCTGGGATTAGCTTAAAGTGTTGCCATCACAAAGCTTTGCTGGCTTCACGCCACAAGAGCTGGAACTTCATGGTGAAAACAAGTTCATGTCTTCTCCTGGATCCATCTTTCCCAAGCTCCACCCTGAGCCCTAAAGCCTGCTCTGCTCTCATTACTTTTAGGGGTGTTCAATATGGTGGTTCCACTTACTCAATAAGAGAACTGAAAATCCACAAAGGGTTCCCCATGGAATGTCATCAAAAGAGCTCCAGTATTCCACTTTGGTGAAGTAGAGAATGACAGGAATACAGGTGATGAAGAGGATGTTAAACACACCCAAAATGGACAAAAATAAGGCCGCTTCTCCAAACTTAGCACTGCCAAGGAGGAGTTTGAACAACACCTGGAGGAGGAACAGAAAAGGGGCAGGTGAAGCTCCATTCACCTCACACTCCCAACTTTTATTTGCACTGGAATGAAAGTTTCCAGAGCAAGTTGGTTTCTCATTCAGCCACTCATACACATTTTGCTTTATATCATGATTACAATAACCATAATGTAATCCTAGTTTTGCCAACCTCATGATTGAGGTGGTTCTACCCTGTCCTATAGAGCTGTCAGATGTCTGTATCCACTCAACATTTACTATGGGTGGAAAAAGAAGAGAGAGAAGGAGAGACGGAGAGAGAATGGCAGACAGCTACTAGAGGGCATGGGTGAGTAGTGGCATGAAGACAGAGAGGGACCAGTGTGTGGGAGTAAAAATTTTGCTCACTAGACCTGCAATTAGAAATTGTTTTCCAATACTTCCCAAGTTTTAAAACAATAATGATTTATAAAGCTCATATTACTGTAGTTGGGCTTTTATTTACTTGATCTACAAACAATGCTAGGTGTGTGCATGGGCTTGTTCTGAATACTGGTGGCCTCTAATCCTGCACAATGAAAGACTTAAATAACAGAGCCTGATCCAAATGCTGGCACAGCTATGTAGTGGCCCAGTCCTTCTCCAAGTCTCCCTTAAACACTTATGTCACTAACGTGTCTCTGGATTCCACTCATTTATCTTATATGCGGCAAACATACAGCATTGATGAGACAGCCCTGAGAATCAAGGCCAAGGGCAGCTGTGCGCCTCAGCCCTGCCTCTGACAGAAGTTTCCGCCTGTAGACTTCCCACATGCATGCTCATGGGTTCCATCAAAGGCTGCCACGAGTAAGAGAGCCACCATGCTGGGCCCTAGTGTTCTTGAGGAAGAGCAGGCCCAGTGACAGCCCGTTTCAGGGGTGCTCACCTTGTAAAGGGCAGACATGGAGGCTGAGCCCACCACCAGCGCTATGCCAATCACAGAGTGGCTGTGGAACCCATCTGCATAGGTCATCATCACAATACCAGCAATGGCGAGGATGGCTGCCACAATCTGGTGAGGGAAGAAAATGGAAGTCAAGGTCTCAGAGGGAAATCTGAGGGTCATGTCAAGGCCAATGAGCTGGAGACGTTCTAAGAAGTTCAATATTCCAGGGGAAAGTGGTCCCTCCTCTGTAGCTCTGTGGAGAGCAGAGTGCAAAGGCTCTCCCTGCCTACATGTTGGCTGTTTCGAGGAGCACATAGTGAAGTTTAGTGTGACCAAAGGGGATGAAAAGTTTGACAACTGTGGGTGGAGGCGTGGCTTGCTTTCCAAGGGTCTGTGGCCAGTCATTGTGATTCCTGGAGATTTGAAGAGGAGGTCATCACTCTGGCAACAGATGATGTGGTCATGACAAGCCTCGGGAGATGGGGCTAGCAACTTTAGATCACCTCTGAGTTCCTTTCTAAGCCTCAGAAGCACTTGTTGTGATCGTAATTTTAGATATTTCTAATTCCAACAGGGGAGGCACTCTGGGGATAGCAATGAGGTCTCTCAGTGGGACATCTGCCAATCAGGGCCACAGATGATACCCTCCACACACTGAAAGGAGCATCATAGGTCAGCTCCCTTTCCAGAAAGATAGTCTGCCATCCCTCCCATACCCATAATGCCCTGCTTTCCAATTTTCTTTGGTAGAAGGAGGCTCTATGGAGAAGCACATATTCCTGGGCTAAGCAAAAGTTTTCCTAGAAGATTAACAACCTAGGATAATATTCTCCAAAATGAGAAAATGCATTAGCATAGAGGGGGGGAAACACAAGAGCGAATCAGTGGGTAGTCAGGAAACTATATAAATGGCACTTGGGGTGGGAAGTGGGGAGGGGGTGTTGTCAGAACAAGGAGAGGGCTGACCATATGTGTACAGTCGAAGCTGCAACTCTTGGGCTTACCTTCCTTCTGCAGATTATTTTAAATTGACTTTAACAATCAACAATGATACTGAATAGTTAACATTTCCTGAAAGGTTGCTGTTTAAGTGTTTGCTTTTTTAAAATTTTAATCTCAAAATAGATAACTCCCATACATCACAATTTATTGACATAAAAAAGTAAGGCTCAGCCTATATGTGGCCACTGGACCTTAGTGTTAAGTAATTGTGCTGCCAACCAAAAGGTATACGGTTCAAACACATCAGCTGCCCCATGGGAGAAAGATGGGTAATCTCCTCCCATGTGTTTACTGCTTGGGGGTCAGCTATGGATCTGTTCTGACTTGATAGTACACAAACAACAACTACAGGTAGGTAGGAGTAGGAACAGATTTCATGTTTATTGTTGCAAAGCCAGTGCTTACATATATAAACTACCATTACTATTACTCATTGTCTCTGAGAAAGAACCAACACATAACTGGCCCTTCAGTGGATTTGCAAAGGCTGTAGATCACATGGAAGGAGACTGCCCATCCTTCTCTTGTGGACCTGAACCACCAGAGAGACACCATCTTTGTGTTGGCAACACAACTCCCCACTCACTACACCACCCTTATTAGTAAACAGGCAAGTCCAAGTCACATGAGAGGCTACTGTCACTATATTCTCAGACATGTGTTGAGGTTTCCTTACATTAAGACATTGAAAGCACAGGACATGTAGTGGAGCCTTACGCAGTGCATGTGAGCTCTGTGCTTCCCCTAGTGCAAGTTCAGGCAATATGTCCATGTTATGATAGAGTAGATCTACATGTACTGCAAAGATCCTAGCCAACACCTGGCCCTATGCTGTCCACTATTCTGCCCTAGTAACTTATTTTCACTTAGCAATGCCATTTTGCATTACATATATGTCTATTTCTCAATGTTTTGTACACTGCTTATAACTGCTCATGGGCAGAAAGAAACAGAGGTAACTGAAAAACAGTACAATAAGTAAAAATTTGTCTGTAAGAACTAGAAAGTGACAAGTAAAAATATGGGAGGGAAAAAGGTCTGAATCTTCCAAAGAGGACAATTAGACTGCCAAGAACCTGTTCGGGAATAGCCCAACCAGGTGAAGTATCAGTGGGGAAAAATAATGAGAAAAAATATTTCTAAAAGGAGGAAAGGGAGAAAGGAGAGAGAGAGAGGAGAGAGAGAGAGAGAAAATAATGGAAGAAAATGGCAGGTGAAGTGGTGCATCAACATTTTTCTTTCAAAACTTAGGGCTGAAGTGTGAGGGAAGGAAGGAGAGCAAGGGGTTATTTGTTCTGAGGACCTACAAGGCAGCTTTCCACCACTTCCTCTCTCTTCTCCACTGGTTACATATTCAACAGTTAAAAGCCTCAGCCTCAGTTGTGCTGCAGAAACGGGGAAGGGGCTGGAAGGTGTGAGAGCAGAGCACTTGGATGGCCACCAGCCTTCCAGATACCCCGGTAAAGAGATGTGAGTAGTCCAAGCCTCGCAAGTTCATTCTGAGAAGGAACAAAAGAGGTGCCATAAGATGCTGACTCCCTCCCTCTGCACTGCTGGGTCTTGGTCACAAATCACCTGGTCACCCAGCAGAGCTGAGGGGCATCTGTATCTAGGACCTAACCCCAGGGCTTCTGGCTCAGCTGCCTCACACCCCCACAGCCCTCAGCCACTGGGTCTCCTTTCTCCTGGGAAATAATGATCCTGGTAGCAGAGTAGGGTTCATGTTGACACTCGTCCACGCTGATACTAAAGCTTAAGGGGACATAACCCCTTAAAAGCCTTTCTTCAAGCCTGAATTTTTTTTTTGAGACTCCAGAACTATCTTTCAAAAAATATGTACATATTTTACATTTCATGCCATAATAACCTGGGTTTGTCTGTATCAGCTAAAAGATCTTTCTCTAGCTGTTTCCTAAACTAAAATGAACCTGCCAGGAAGCAAGGCCCTGTTTAGCTCCTTGACACCATCCCATATAGCTGGTGCCTCTGGGAGATGTGTCTTCCATGTGTGAATAAAGGCAAGAGAATGTTCCTGATCTCCTTGTAGTCCTCCCTCCTTCCTATGCTTTCTGCCACTTCCTAAAACATACCTCAATAAATGCTAGCAAAAATGATTTCAGGAGAACAGAAGAGAAAGACTTGTGGGTAACAGTAGCCCTGAGACCAAGCAGGTAACTGCTGTCATCTCTATTTCCTCTGGGAGCACATTGGTGAGAGACCTCCAAGTCATCCAGTCATCCACCATGGTAAAAACACTCTACATGATAAAGACAAACAACACAGTGAAATCACCCAACATGGTGAAGACACTCAACATGGTGAAAACATTTAACAAAGTGAAGACACACAACATGTTGAAGACATACAACACACAGTGAATGCGCACAACATGGTGAAGACACCCAACATTGTAAAGACACCCAACATGGTCAAGACACTCAACCTGATGAAGATATCAACATGGTGAAGACACCCAACATGGTGAAACTATCCAACACACCGAAGACACCCAACATGGTGAAGGCACACAACACAGTGAAGGCACACAATGCAGTGAAGGCACACAACATGGTGAAGACATCCAATGTGGTGATGACAGTCAATGTGATGAAGACATCAACACAGTGAAGACATTCAACATGTTGAAAACATCTAACATGGCCTACAGATACCTAGAATGGTGAAGGCACTCAGTGTGGTCAAGACACCTAGTATGATCAAGACACAAAGTATTGTCAAGACACTCAACGTGGTGAAGACAGTCAACATATCGAAGATATCCAGCATAGTGAAGACATCCAGAGTGAAGTCACCCAGCATGGTGAAATCAGCCCATGCGTGAAGACCAACCAGTGCTGTGAGGACAGTCAAAGTGGTGAAGACACCTAGTGTCGGGACACCTAGTGCAGGGAAAAAAGCCCAGAGTGCAGCTGCTGGATCTTTCACCTGTGGCTTTATTTGCTGTAGTGCTCCCCTGGCAGTCAGATATGCCAATTATCCCCATGATAACACTAGCCTCTATTAGATCGGGAGGGCTGTGAAAGTATACCCTTAAACACTATATTCAGAAATTAAGAAAAACCACAGGAGAGTTGGTACATCACTTAATCTGGTCTCATTTCCTCTTGCTCCCTATTTGTTGTGAAAAGGTGACAGCTGCTTGTCCTCTAGGTTATACCTTGATGTAACAACACCATGATGCACTTTTTTATTTCTACAGGTTTGAGCATTTCAGTAAAGGAGAACAGACTAAAGTTGAAACACACTTCCTCCTCACACTTTCCCCCCTAGCTCTGAACTGTGATGACCCAGAGAGATTGGAAGGAATGTAGAGACTGTTCACCTTAGGCTCTCCACTCCAAAGAAGCGGGGTTATAAGCAGGCCTGGCTTCCTGCCTTATTGTGTTGTGCTGATGTTTAAGAAGGTGGGAAACAGTTTCTCCAAAAACAGGGATTCAAGAGCTGAAAATTGGAATTCCAGCTCAGAGATTTCTCACCCCTTCTACAACAAATGAAAGGGATCTTGTTGGATATACTAGTTAGATAGTAATTAAGATGGGAGTCAGTTACAGAGAAAGTGCCCATTCTCTCAGGAAAGTGCTTTTTGTACTTCAGGCCCCATCCCCCCCAGGCAATCTTTTAGTGACATTCTTGCTCCCATAAATCTGGGTGGGAAGTCCTGATGGGGATGGATGAGAGAATGGCTACTGGAGCATCTGATTACCTTCCCAACCTATCAACCCTCTTTTCACTCAACTCTGCCCATAGCTGGTGGGTTCACCTCTAAAGGGGAGGGTTTGTGTATTCTCATCCCAACAAAGCTTTGCTAAGTCAATGACACTGCCACAAAGACCCAGGACTGGCCCACCAATACCTCTGTTGGAAAGGAAAAATTAGTAATAATAAATAGCAGTACTAAGTGCCGGGTGAGGGATTCTGGTGGCCTGATGTGTAAGGAGTTACGTTACCAAAGATGGGTAATTCAAGTCTGCGAGCTGCTCCACAGAAGAAAGATGGGCAGTCTCCTTCTGAGAGATTTATCACCTCTGAAGACCCACTGGAGGATCAACTATGAGTCAGTTTCCACTTAACAGCACACAACATGTACCAACAAGTATCATATTATTTTATTCTCACAACAGGTTTGTAGGGTGGCTATCATTATTTGAGTCCATTTTAAAGATGAAGTAATGTTTACTCAGAGACATTAACTGCTTAAAGTCCACCATGACCTAGAGTAGAACATCTTCTCACTGCACATAAATCCTGGGGCCTCAGAAGTCAGGACAAGTAGACAAAGCACAGGAGGGCAGTGTCAATGCACAAGAGAGCAGAGCCAATGCACAGGAGAACAGAGCCAATGCACTGGAGAGCAGTGTCACCGCACAGGAGGGCAGAGCCAACACACAGGACAGCAGTGTCAATGCCCAGGAGAGCAGAGCCAACGCATAGGAGAGCAGTGTCAATGGCAATAAAGAGCCCCACATGGGCTCTTTTCAAATAGGCAGTGCAGACTCTCACCCTCTCTGACATCACAGATTAGGTCCTCCTAAGCATTCCAAACTACATTTGCTGACTTCTAGATCTGTCTGCACCCCCAGGGCTTGCTGGGTTTTCCAGGATCCCCAGGCCTCCTGTGTGCTTTAAGTAAAGGTCTTAGTAACCCAGGTACACTATGGAACCCATCACACAGACATGATATTTGGGCTCTGCCTTGCTGCAAATGTCTGTACCGTCCCCAAGTCAGCATGCTCAGCCCTCCAGGATGGGCACAAGGATGAGTTCTTTCCAGTCATTGGAAACGACCCAGCAGAAGGTGTGAGATAACCCAAAATGGAATAGAAGCCTGAGACACTCCCTGCACACATTACCTTGGACCACAATTTCTAACTATTTATCCAGAGGAAACAATCCATTACTCTGACAAGTTGTTATATCACCCAGATTCTGCTACCTCAGCAAACTCTTGAAGATAAAAATAGAGAAACCCACTGCCTCTCATCATAGGAAGCTCTGAGACTACCAGTCACAGACTTCTCAGGGAATAATAGTTGCCAGTAACCTGCTGTCACCAGCCCCGTATTCTCATGCGGGAGGTGTCCTCATGCTGGAGGCCCTTGGCACAAAGCTCTGTGCAGTGCACAATGTTCAGCACAGAGCAGACTGGGCACATGGCCAGCATAGATAGTCTTTAATATTGCCTAAGAACATGGGGAAGGAAACCCTTTTTGTCCTAATTTAGCAACAAAGAAATGATCCAGAAGGGCTAGGGTTTTGCATCCCCTTCACTTAACCTCAGGGAGCCTTGGTGGTATAGTGGTCAAAGCATTTAGTTGTTCACCAACATTTCTGTTGGTCAAACTCACCAGATTCTCCAAGGAAGACAGATAAGGTAGTTGGCTTCCATAAAGATCAACAATCTTGGGAACTCTGAGGGCAGCTCTTCTCAGCCCCACAGGGTCACTGTAACTCAGAATCAACTAGATAGCAGTGGGACCTCTTAATGTCAATACATTTCTACTTTATTCTGCTTAGGTATAGAATTAACTCTGAAGAGTCTCTGAAGAGTGGTAAGGTCTCATTTGGAACTTGCTTGGGAATTTGCTCAAAATCTCAAAACTGACACAAAGTTCCATGCATTCTTTGTCTGTTCACACCAAAATCATCCTAAACAACATGCAGTGGTGGTAAAAGACCCTTCACCTTCAGCCAAGTGCAGCATGGGGGACCGCTGTGGGAAGTCTCTGCCCGTCTTGCAAAGATGTTTAGATCATTTGTTTGTTGAAAACATTTTTGAGGGAGGAGGGGTTAGCACAGGGAGTGATTTGCTTTTCTAAAATTAACACTCAGCCTCGAAACACACTTCCCCCCTACTGCAAGCTAAAAATATGACTCAGACTCAGCTGTTGACTCATGTCCCCTCTCCTGTTAGTGTAACGAGGTGGGCGTGAATCCACAATTAGGACTGTTCTCAGGACAAGTCAGAAGGACCAGAAGGACAGGGCCTGGAGTTTGCCCTTTGCTGGGTGCCAGGATGGCTTAGTCTAATGGGACTGGCACCAAAGGGTCCTAGCTCCCTAGAGGGTTTTTATGGACAGAGGGTGCGGGACACAGCAGCAATAATGAAGTTACAAAACAAAAGGACAATTGCAAGGAGAAATCCTTTGTTTGGTGGCAAGGTGATGAAAGAACAGTAGCAGTGCCAGACACAAGAGGAAGCCATGCAAAGAGGTGCCATGATGCCATTGTGCTAAACGTCACCAGTTCCTCCCACTCAGGGTAGGTCCCTCTCCATTGCAGCTGATGGTGGATACTTTATCATATTTTGTAGATTAGTGTGGACTCAAATTAGCTAAGTTTGATTAGTTTTGAATTCAATTTATTGTAACAATGAGAGATCATTGAAGGAGTATGATCTTTCCCTCCTTCATGTGAGGTATGAAGGATGTAGCGTTGGGCCTCCACAGTCTGAACTGCATGCAAATACATCTGGCTCATGACAGAACACTACCAGGTACAGTACTTCCAAAATGGGATGCATGTGGAGGCAGAAGGACGTTGGGTGCAGGGTGCCCCCAATATGGATTGGAGACTGGCAGGTGTGGGTAGTCAGGTTAGCAGAGAACCTGGAATAGGCTGGGAGTTGCCGGGAAAGAGGAACGAGCCCATAAAGGATGCTAAGCACTCATTTCTGGGGCTGGGCATCAAGCAACACCCTTTAGGGAAGGCTGACAGAAATGCTTGAAATGAAAGATGCTTCAATGAAGGCTTGTCTAGGATGGTTTGCAGGCAAGAGAGTTTTCAAGGCACACCAAGAACTGGGCTCTTTTTCTGCTGCAAATCAAAGAGAAAGAGATAAGTAGTAGCTTACACTTCCAGCCCAGCACATGGAGCTAAGCAAGCCAATAGGCGGGCGTTGGCCAACATGACTGAGGGAGGAAGACAGGGAATAAAGAACTTACCCTCACTCCCATGAACCTGTCCCTGAGCACGATCCACGAGAGCAAGAACACAAAAGCTTTGTTGCAGCAGAACAAGACGGAGACATCCGTAGTGTTTATTTTCTTTATTGCGTGTAAGTACAGGTAGTTTGTGAGTGTCCAAAGAACACCAAAGGGTGCTGCCTTGGTAAAAAACACCTTCAAAGTCAAGCCATTGTCTCCAAAAAACCGACAGCATTCCCTAAAACAAGGAGAGAGAGGCAGTGTTATTACAGTCCGGGGTGACACACACCAGCCATTCGTTTCCACACTCAGTTTTGCTTGTTTTCTAAAAAGAAAGCAAATAAAAGAAGGAACAGGTTTTAAAGGATTTTGTTCATGTTTAAAAAAGTCTTTATATTAAAGTTATTTACCCTATTACTTTAGTATTTTAGAGGAAATGTCACACCATGAACCATGCTATAGAGTATTCCTCTTGTTCATGTTATCTGATTGAAGCAATCTGGTTGGTTGGTTTTTTAAAAGGGAGTTGGGGTAGGTAGGGAAGATAACTGATGAGAACTCAACTCACAGAAATGTATTTTTTACTTCTTGTCCCAAAGTAGGACTGTATGTATGATCAGGCAGAGGGAGTTACTTCCTAAACATATCTAACACATCTTTTCTGTGAGACCATGTTTAGAGGACTCTATTCTATCATGGAGAAGTCTAAGTACACTTCACAATTCTGGGAAAATGAGCAGAAGAAAGTAATTAAATGAAAATGGACCTGTGCTTAGACAGCAGGGGAAGGATCTCTGATATCTGAAAATAGAATAAATTCCATTTTTGACAAGCAGAAGAAATTAGTAGTGGCTGCTGGAGATTAGCAGGAAAGCTCAGTGGGAGAAGGTTTGGTCTACAGGAAGTTGGCTGCCAACTGAGTAGCATGAAGAGCGTTATATGGCCTTGAGCCCAGGCAAGGAATGGATGATTGAGGAAGGTCTACTCCTACAGGGTTCACTGTCCAGGCTCCAAGGCCAGACATGCCAAAGCACAGCAGTACATGATGGCGGCTGACCCGGAAATGGTTGTTGGATAAACTCAAGGCTAACTGAACTGCCACAAAAGTGTTAATTCCAAATACCATTAGAATTAGCCAACATACGAAGAGTGAGGAATGGCCGTAGCCTCAGTATATGTACCAGCAGAGGAGGAAACTGAAAATAAGAGACAAAAAGAATTTGGTGTGAATTTCATTTCCTTTTATGTTCTTGCTATCAATCCCAAGCAACATCTATCTTCATTCATCATTAAGTTCTTGAGTGCCTACAAAGGGGAAAAAAACTCTTTTGAGAAATATCTGAGAGCCCAGAAGACCATCAGTAGAGAAGGAAGTCTGCAGTTCTGTAGACTATGGTAACACTCAGTCACCTTTCATATTGTTTCTCAACAAACAGGTATCCATGCCCAACATTCAAGGCCCTGAATTTAATATGAAGCAATGGAACTGGGCCAAATTCATTTTGGCTCTATATAGATGCAGTGCTCATTGTGGGTGGATGAACATCCTGATGATACACCAATATATTTATTTTCTGTGCAAATTTTAAACAATATCTGAGCTGTGTTTCCTAGGGGTATTCCCAGAACTCTAGTCCCAATAGCATGCTTCTTCTCCTCAGGAATAGTGACCAAAGATGGCTTCCTTCATGGTTATGGTTATGGTGGCTATAAAAAGATCCTAGGGTCTGGGTGTTACCTATGATGTTCATGCACAAGGCTCATGTTTACAGGCTTGCTATGAGTTGCACTTGACTTCAAAGCACCTAACAACAACAATAACAAAATTAACTAGTGTGAGCCTGTGGATGTGTCCCCTCACCCTAATGACTACCTTGGGCTGAGGGTACGGACCCCATTCCTATGCAGACCACTGCCTCTGAATGAAGCACTCTTCCCCTGGTATGTAACTTTCCTCCTGAACAATAAATCAATGTCTCAGTTTAACTCAGGGTCAGTTTTTTCAGTCTCTCTATGAACACTTAGACTGAGGCTTTCCCTTCTTGGATTTGAACCAAATGGAAAAAGTAAAATAAAAAAAAAAATCAAGCCAGAAAGTGCAGTATCAAGCAAAAAGAAGCTTCAGAAGGAGGAAACAGACAAAACAAAGTGGGAGAAATGACAAAGGAGATAAGTTAAGAATGTTTCTCAGAGCTGAAACAATAAGTCTTCACAATGAAAAGGCCCACAAATTAGCAAGCAAAATAAACAAAGAAAGAATTATCAGATACATCATTGTGAAATAAAGGGGAAATGATGTGAAGGAACCAAAAGAAAAAGGAGACAAAATAGGGTTAGAAAATCATAACATCAGACTTCAAAATTACAAACCACACAGTAATGGTACGATAGCTAAAATATTTTTTAAGCAAAACTATTTTCAAAGCAGAATTGAAAGGTGAAAGGTCAGAAAAGAACTGACACAATGACTGAAGCAAATAGCTATTACACACAGTGAAAACTATAAAGATGGTGCTGGATTTGGCAAAGATTTGACCAGAATAAATGTAAGAGTATAATAAAGATCTTTTCAGCCACACAATGTAAAACAAAACAAAACACACCCATGTTGTATATCACACATTCTTCCTAGGAAGCAACTGATAGAAAAGTTATACCAAAACCAGGAAGAAGGGGCCATGGCACAAGGACCCTGGGACCTGCCTGGACAGGCATTGAGAAGTAATTCCAGGATTGATGCTGCAGCAGACTTCAGGGCATGGAGGACAGAAAAGTCTAGGAGAGAATTCTCTAAGAAGCCTTGTGACATGTAAAAGATTGACTGGTTAATTAATGAGAAGATGGGATTTTTAGAAAAATGTAGCAGCCACAAAATAGAAATTTCAACTGAGACAAGAGAGACAAATATTGATGCCTAGAAAAATAAAGGAAGGCAAAGTTACAGGTTTGGCTTGTAATGCATTCTAGTAATAGTGAAAAGCCCACTCATTCCCACACCTGTTATTGAGTGCATTCCACTCATGACCACACTCTGACAAGTCTCAGAGGTTCAGAATGTAGAAGACTCTCCTGCTCACTGTCTGGTGGATTTTAATTGTTGAATTTTGGGTTAGCAGCCCAATTCACTACCCATTGTACTGCCAGAGCTCTAGTAACGTATCCCTTTTGTTAGGTGCCATCAAACTGATGACATAAACTATGACTCATGGTGATGCACAGGTCTGAATCTTGCCCTATCCTTTGCTATCCTCACTATCTCTGATACACTTGAGACTACTTTTACAGTCAATGTGCCAATCCATCTCCTTGAGGTCATTCCTTTCCGTGACACTTCATCTTGGATCATAACAAATTGTGATCAATATTAATAAGAACAGGAATCACAGAACACTTAATTGTGCTCATAGAACATATACTTAGACCAAGAAGCTGTTGGATGAACAGAGCAATGGAAGTCTGAATGGTTTCAAATAAATAAAGGGGTACATCAGAAATGTATTCTTTCTCCATACATATTCAGTCCATATGTTGAGAAAATCAGATGAGAGGCTGGACATTATGAAGAAGCATGTGGCATCAAATGAGAGGAAGACTCATCAATAACCTGTGTTATGCAGATGACATACTTGCTTGACAAAAGTGAAGAGGACTTAAAATGCTTTCTGGAGAAGATCAAAGACTTCAATATGGATTACAGTTCAACCTCATCAAGACAAAAATCCTCACCACGGAATGAATAGGCAGCATCATGATAGATGGAAGGAAAATTGAAGTTGTTAACAATCTTATCTTGATTTGATCCACAATCAACATCTGTAGTTAAGAAATCAAAAGATGTATTGCCTTCAGCAAATCTGCTGTTAAAGACCTCTCTAAGGTTTTCAAGAGTAAGGATGTCAGTTTAAAGAATAAGGAATCCTTGATTCAGGTCATGGGCTTTTCAATTACTGGCTATACACCTGAAAGTTGGACAATGACTAAGGATGATGGAAGAATTGATCCCTCTGAGTTGTGATTATCAGAGAAAAAAACCTGATTATCCCTGGACTGCCAAGAGAAGAAACAAATATGTCTTGGAGACATATTTGTCAGGGTGCCCTTTAGAGGTAAGGATGGTGAAGTTTCATCTTGCATATCTGGGGACATGTTAGAAGGGGGTCTCACCTTTGGAAAAGACATCATGTTTGTAAAGGTGGAAGTGTTTTGGTGAGGGTAAAGAATTGGAGAAAGTAAGGGTTGGTTGGGACAGAACTCAACTGATGTCTACCTTCAAGAAACATTTGAAGAATCAGGTTGCCAGCCCTTTAAGAGACCAAGCAGAGCTCCTTACCCTAACACAAGAGATTCCGGGAGTGTGAGAAAGATTTACACACGCTGCCAGCTCCCAGGACTGGGGCAGGGCCCTGCAGTGAGATAAGCCCATCTCCCTAGGATGGGGGAACACCTAACTGCCCACTTCTGACTCCCACAGGCCATATTGGCCTGTTTGCTTTCTCGGGTTAGGGCTTTTAGGCCAGATCATCAATATGCAAATTCCTGTCAAGCCATCACCTGAAACTAGTACAATAATGAAGTCAAAGACCTGCCACTGGACTGTCTTATAGAGAAAAGAGATACTTTGACTTTGAACACTGCTGTCTACAGCACATGGGATTTCTTAAGTTCAAGCAGAAGAGGTTGGGTGGGGGCTGCAGTTTCTGGAGGGCAACGATCATCCTGGTTTGGGAAGACAAGAGGGCAGCATCAATATACAGGTCCTTCACAAAATATTGCCATACCCTAGGACATTATAAAGTTACAACCACCTAACATCTACTAAGAAAAAACTCACCTAATGTCAAGAAAGCAGCAGTCTGTCTCAGTTACTATGGAAAAACCTAAAAAACCAGACCCAGTGAATACCTCTGATACAGAAAACTAGAAGAAATATGCTGATGTGGAGTTATATAAAGAGCTACAGAAAAAGATGCAAATGAAGAAAGAAAAAATGGAAGTCATTAAGAAAGCAAATACCCTACAGACAGCAATCCAGAAGAAACATATTCATGAGAAGCAACTTGAACAGTTATGGAAGAAAATGCAAAAGATGGGAGGAAGAATTGATAGTATAGACAAAGAAGTACAAGGATGCGGAGCTCTGGTGGCCTAATGGCAAGAAGCTGTACTGCAATCCCAAAGGCACATGATTTGATGCTTCAGATGCTCGGCTGGAGAAGCAGGGGCCATCTCCTCCTGTGC